AAACGATAAGCAACTGCTGAAAATGCGATCAGTTTCACCAAAACCTTCGGGGTATTGTATCAAGAATTAATTCAACATGAGTCAACATAACTCAAAGTAGTCGCGTTTCATGGAATAATGAAATATGGAGATGTAAAAATCTTTTAATAAACCTATGTTCCCCTGCTGTCTGTGCAGGATTGATCCGTACAGGGAATATTTTTCTCCACTGCATGTTTAAAACTCATTTTTTTTTTGGTACAAATGCAGATTATCATTCTTTTTAGCTGCTATTTTTTTATGTAAATGACTAGTTTAATTTATCTTGTGTAAGGGAATCTCCTGTGTGGTGATGTTCGTGGCTCCCCAGCAGACAAGACCTTGATATCAGGCGGAGGTTGCTCTCCTCCCAGCACTCATCCAAAAAAAAAAAAAAAAGAAGAAAAGATGACCCAAGGAAATAGAAAGCTTCTGCATCTTATCAGAAAAATCATATCAGAAAATGTTCCAAAACTCACTGGTGCATCTTCACCCGTAGACGAGCTGCCCGTCCAACTCGGTAGTTTAATTTCATACACCAGCAGTTTCTAAGTGAACAAATACGAGGATGTTCTGGTCCCCAAACATCCCAGTCTATATTCTTCCACTCACTTCACCCCGACTTGACTATTATACACTGCTGTGCAGGGAGTTAGGGCTCAGGGAGGGCTTTTTGTTTAAAAAATGAACATCTGAGTGCTCTGAAATTCACGGGCTGAATTAGATTATCTGGAAACGTGCTGCATCCCATGGATGCCTGGTGGGGTGAGCAGCAGTCCACGTCGCTGTCCTCTCGGTGAGGACATGGGGTGTACCTCGCCTCCCCTCTGCTCCCCGGTGCTATCGCTCCAAAGCGAGGCCTTCAAATGCAATTACCTTCTGCTTCGCCCTCCGACAGCCTCAGTTCAAAGGTCGGTGCCCAATTAATGCGATTTATGCTCAATTGTCTAATGACCGTTAATCCTGTTAGGGTGATCCTCGGGTCCATCTGTTCCTGATGTCTCTTACCCGTGCCTTTCCCATGCCTTCCTTCTTTCCTTTTCATTTCCTAGGACTTCTCCAAGCACGCCGCTTTTTTGGCATATCCACAGTGCTCTAACCTCTCTCTCTGAACTGCACAGAAATATTGCATCACCTCAAAATTTTCCCCAAATCAGAGATCTATGGATTTTATATATATATATATATATATATATATATATATATATATATATATATTCTCTATTTGGAATTCTCAACACTTCTGTCCTTAAACTACATTTGAAATGCCTCCAATTTTGGAACATCTCTCATTTAAGATCTACCAAAATTGTACTGAAAATACTATTTTTTTTTAAGTTGTGACTTTCTATACGTCCTACACCTTTTCTAAATTTCCAAAAGCTATTTTATCCTGTGCTCTTTGAATAACCCTTTCTTTATCTTGATTATGACAGAGCCTAGGTACAGGAACTCCTCCTCTCTCAAGACCTTTTCCTTCAGCTGCATTGCCCAAGAGTTTTTTTTATTTTGGTTTGGCCACTGTTTCAATCTCAGATATATGGGAGCCTATCTTCAAGCTCTTTTTGTACCTCTCCTGACTTGTTGCTGGTGTAGGTGTTTATGAACTTCTCCTCAACTAAAATAAGAAAAAAAAAAAAGGTGGAGGGAGGGCGTTTACCAGAATTACGCTGCGTGCACTCCTAGGATTTCAATAGCATTGATTCAATCAAATGTCTAGTGGGATTTTCTCAGCTGCTGGAGGATGCTTAGAAAGGGTAAAAAAAGAAACCTTTAAAAGAGCACGTAGAAGAAAACCGGAAGTTTCAGATCCTCAGATATGTCATTTTTGTGTCAAATTGTAAAAATCACAGGAATTATCCATTTGACAGAATATGTGCATGCGTTCCTATATTTAGCAGCTAGGAGATGAGCTTAATAGCTAGGTTGCATTTACCATGGGTAGGTCACGCGGCAGGCGCACACACGGGACAATGCTCTGCTCTGCACAGCGAGCTTCTCTTACATTACTTCATTTGTTTTTAAAAAGAAAAACACAACCATAACCCAGATCTTAACTCACTCCTTCATATGCCTTTCCTGCAAGTGTTTGAATTAAAGGTATTTGGGTTTTCCTGCTGAGAGCTTTAGGGATCTTCTGCAGGAGGGGGGTGTGAGGATCAGCCCTCGCTACCCTGAAACAATACATAAAATATTAACCGCTAGCAATATCCTTCTTGCACAAAGGCACTGGTGCCCCGTTCTCTTATTATTACATGCAACTCAAAGGGATTGCTGGTGAGATGAAAACTGAAACCCTCTAATGCCTTTTCCCCTCCCCTGCTTGCCGTGTGGCCGGTCCCAGGCGAGCCCCTGCCCTGCAGGTCAGCCCCTGCCCACCGCCCATGGGGAGGCTGCAAACGTGGTCCCACCACCACCCCTTCCCATTCCTCCCTGGCCCTCTTCCTTCTTGCTTTCCTCAAAACCTTACAGATACGTTGTTTGTATCCTCCTAGTCGTGTTCTATAGTGATTTTCTGGGGGAAAGGGATATTTACTGGCTTCACTGTGATGCGACACCCAAGCTGGGCACTCCTGAGATGCCTTCATCTGACTTTAAGAAGTCTCTTGGTGCCGTTTCTCTTCTTGCCCTGATGTTTTGGCAGGGCACACAGGTTAAGGCAGTGGCTGGCTCAGCCTCATGCTGGGGGGCTGAGAAGTGGCTTTGCTGCTGAAAGCCCTCGTCTTTGCACAGGGCTGAGCAGTAGCTGTGGGACTGCAGTGCTCATGATCCATCCGTGATGAGAGAAAGCACGCTGACAGAAACCTGAAGAGTGCTTGAAGCTAAAGCCCTGCCTTTTTTCCTTTTTTTTTTTTTTTTTCTTAGAATACCAACCACAACTGTTTTAAAGCCCTGGTGAGATGCTGAGGCTGCCGCCAGCATCCATGCCTGGGTTTATGTGTGTGGAGAGCCCGCCCTGCTCGCCATCCTCCCTCCTTCCCCCCTCTCCCCACCTTTGTTAAGGAGAGACAGAGAAGCAGAAAAGCTGCTAACACCCCTGCTATCGAAAAAAGCCCTGCATCCTCCAGATAGACGGCTCAGCACTACACAGCCGGGCCAGCTGGCTGGCTGCTCTCATTAGGACGAGCACATCGTTAATGCCCCGGAGCTCTGCGGAGCTGCCAAGGCCGGGATCTGACCCATAACGCTCCTCACGTTGAGCTCAGGCCGTTTGGCAGTGGCCTGAGCAAGCCTGTGATATAAATTCCTTCTCGTTAACCAGGAAGTGGAAGAAAGCCTTAATTGGGATATCAAATTTCAGGAAAACGCAGTAAAGGCCGCTCAGCTGAGAGGCCTGGGTCCCGCTACGAGCAAATGCCGGCGGCTCACAGCCGGTGTGCCAGGCCTCTGCGGGTGGCAGACACAACAGGCGGTGACTGGCACGTCATTTGTGAGCCGAAACACAACTAACAGCAGTCTTTGGGTGAGCAGTGGCTGCTTTCCCCACAAAAGTATAAGACACTTGAACAAATTAAGGCAGCGAGGTCATAAAAGGGGGTGAAATACCACCAAGTGCTGGCTGACTGTCCTCACCTACTGGAGGACAGCGGCCTTCACTGGCATCTGCTGCTTCGTTTACTTCGGCTAAATAAAAAAAAGCACTGAAATTCCCCCAAAATGTTTCCATTACCACTTCCATGAGCATTTTAAAGTTGTTTTTGGTGGTGGTGGTTTTGTTTTGTTTTGTTTGTTTTTTCAGTAGGGTGCTCCCGAAGGAGCATGGTGTGCCCGAAGTGTCATGGAGAGGGCAGGCCGACCAGCTGTGGGACCTGCCGTGGGGCCACTGGTGGCACCCGGGGCCACCCAAAAATGACAAAGCTGAATCACAAAATCACAGAATTGTAGGGGTTGGAGGGAACCTGAAGAGATCATGGGGTCCAAACCCCTGCTAGAGCAGGTTCCCTAGAGCAGGTTGCCCAGGAAGGCATCCAGACAGGCCTTGAATATCACCAGAGAAGAAAGCTTTTCCTGGGAGGTCCCCTTTGGGTAGGGAGCCCAGGAAAATCTGCTTGTGAGGCCATACAGGTGCTTTTGGGGCTTCAAGCTGTTAGCACGCTGGAGCCCTCAGATGGCTGAGGTAGTGACTGGTGTGGGCAGGAGAAGCGGGGCTGGCACAATTACACGTGCCTCAGATCGACCCACTGTGTGTTAGCTGCGATCAGGTCCGCTCTCCCTTTTCCTCTGTCTCCAAACTAGCTCAGAACATACCCAGCTTTTTGCTTTCTTGCTCCCAGTGGTGTATAAACATTACGATTTGCATAGTTTTCTGCTCTAACCTTTCTGTTCGGAGGCCACGTAAAGGGAATGAGGGTGGGACCTTTCTGCAACGGGGACAAAGGTTTGTGCTTTTTCACTCTACACTCTTGCTTTTAGCATGCTCTGAGTTAATGTTTACAAGTATTTAGAGAAAAATACTCCGTTTGCCATAAGAGCTGGTTATGGGCTTGTAATGATGAAATAAAGAGCAGAGTGATTTCATCCTGGCTGTTGGTGATGGGCTCAGCCAGCCCATAAAGCAGTCCCTGCGTGCACGTGGGCACTGCAAGCATGCAACGAGTGGAAACAACAGCTAAGGACAAAATTAAGCAGTTAAGGGACAGATGTAAAAACTTTTGGGGAACAGGGAGGTGCGAGCCTCTCCTGCAGAGCCTGGTGCAAGTTGGGGGGTTGCAAACTGAGGGTGAAGCCCAGGCAGAGGAGCATTTACCCCCATTTCCTCTGGCACGGGACGATTCCCCCTGCTGCCAGTCCTCCCACAGGGGGAAGCAGCGCGGGGGGAAATGAAATGTGATCTGATGAAAGCCGTGATGGCACGGACTGCCGAGTTCCCTGACAGATTGGGAAAACCACATAGCCTGATCACTGCTTGGGAAAAAAAAAAAAAAAAAAAAAAGAGAAAAAAAAAAAAAAGATGAATGCAAGCACCGCTGCTTTGGAAGGAATGAGATGTGCGGATGTTTTATTAGATCTTAAGCAAATACTTTGCTGACTAGAGCAATACATCTCTGTCACAACCGAGCTGGAATACAAGATTTCGGGACACATCGCTGCTGAAACCTTTAACAACAACCAAGCTGAGTTGGGAAAGCTGCAAATCACAAACGGTGAGAAAAATATTCAGATATGCTGAAACATCTATTAGTGCTTTTGAAATAAATTTGGGGATCAGAAGGGCCCTGGCGCAGCCTGCACGGCTCAGCCATGGACTTAAATGTTTCATAGGTTCTGAAAAGCCAGGTCGGTTCAAAAGAAAAGCCTTTCTGCATGCCAGCAGAAGGGCTTGGAGCAGCTCATCTTCCAGATTAAAAGGCAATCCAGATAAGGGCCCAACCCAGCAAAGCCCTTGTGAGCATACTGGGGTTAAGCACCCATTTTGTCAGGGCTGAGCGAGCAGTACAGGTTCACCTGCAGCCTGTTAACACGGAAATGGCATTTTCCTGTTATCTGCAGCTGAGCACGAATAACTTTTCCAGTTCAAGACTCTGCCAGCCATGCTCAGGAGGAGCTGAAAGCACAGGCAGCTTCCTTCCCCTTTGGTCCTGAAGATGCAGAGGGGCTCAGCCCTCCCTCCCCATGGTCTGAGGACAGGACACAGATGGCTCTATGGGACAAAAAGGTGGTATGGCATTAACAGAGTCCAGCAGATGAAGGCACATGGCTCTGGACAGTGTCAGCCTCAAACGTGCCCCAGTCGGAAGCAGGGAGCAGCAGTGCACTGCCCGAGCAATACCTCCTCGGCACAATGTCAGGCTTCACCTCTCTCCGGTAATACCTGCACGCAAAGAAATTACATCAGAAATGACTTCCCTCAATCTCAGTAAAAGCACATTAGGAAAAACTTCCATTTCTAGGAAAACGACTTGACAGCTGTGTTGAAATTACCTCTGGTAATTTTAACTGAGTGGAAGCTTTTATATTCGATTGCACCAAAAATGTAAAGCGTGTCACTTATTAAGCTTTTATATCTGACATTCAGTCTGGTACCTGACGGCATCTTTCCAGCAATCTGGAGATCATGCAGCTAATGTACTTGGAAATGGTAGAATTAGGGATGGTGGAAAGTCATTAAATTCGAAATTAAATGGGCTCTCTTCGTTCGTGAAGGTAATCTTTAAGAAAAAGAAAAAAAAAACACACAACAGAAGTGCCTTTGCAGAAGTCAGAAAGCATCTCCCACATTAGCTGTCTGAGCTTTCTTTTTCCTCCCATAATGGTGTCAATTAGCTGATTTGACTATCACACCTGCTTCGCTGTGATGGAGGGGGGAGCTGCAGGCTCCCTTTGACATGAAGCACCAACCCCTCCTCACCCTTGCCACCAGCCAGGGCCCCTGTCTTAGTCTGAGCTTTTTCAGCCCAGTTTCAAAGGTGAAACAAGATGCCATGCAAGTGGTCTGAAGCTCTGGCAAGCCACACGATTTCCTACCCAAGGCTTTTTGGAAAGAAACGTCAAGCAGCACATCGTAACGTTCCCTTTGGGGGACAACTGTGGGAGGGACAAAATCTCAGTTAGTCCATTAAAGCCTACACTAAAATAAATATACCAAAAAAAAAGCTGAAAGAACAATGCCTGTAAAATGTTTAGGGCGAATTAAACAGCCTACAAACGGCCGAGCAGCGTTGCCATGGTTTCGTACACCAGCAGGATGCTGTGCCACCCTTACCCTGTGATTCCTGCTTGGGATCTGGCAATCCCAGCCCCTAAAGGGCGAGCAGCAGGGTGTAGGGTGTTAAAGGTGTAGGGGCAACAAGCCACCATCCCGCAGAGGCTGCCCCTTGCTGTGTGTTTGGGGTCAGTGCTCGCCTTAGCAAGCGGCGCAATGGACTTGTGAAGCTCTCTGGAAAAAGTTGGTTCCCACCTTGGGGCTGAGCTGAGGCCCTGCTTACCCGAGCACATGCATCCTGTGATTCATTAACGTGGTAACGATCTCGGGGCGAGCATTAATGGTCTTTGTGCGAGCGTAAAACGCCGCGCTGCTGCCAAACGTCTGGCTGCGGTTAACAGCTTCAACTCCAAAGGTAAGCACCGCGGAGGAAAATATAAATGCGTTATTAAGAAAAACCAACCTCTCGGAATGAAGAGCAATAAAAACACAGCAGTCACAATGCAAGCACACCCTTTTGTGTCTCCCTGTTGCAGCACACAGTGTGTAGGATCGCCCATGTACTGATGGGGACGGGCTGCAGCAGGACCTGCTCCCCCCTACCCTGCCCGATCCCATCCCAACACTGCTGCAGGGGCAGCGTCTCCCCAGCCTGATGCACTTTGACCTTTTTGTGACTTCCTAAGGTGAAAAGTGAAAGTCCATGGAATACGTGCCAGATCTGTGCTCCGTTTCGTGCCCTGCTGTGTGCAGCACACCAATGCTGGGGACACACCGCGTGCAGCCGGGCGAAGCGCTGCTGACGGATCGAGGCAGTCCCAGGAAAGCTGCTTTGATTTGTTTAACGAGCTGCTTGCTGCCAAAGATGAAAGGAAGGACCGTGGCAGCTAACAAACCTGAGAAATGCTATTAATGTTGTTTTCTAGCACTTCTGCTGGGGAAAAAACACACACACACGTGTTTCTTGCCTTAATATATGACTATCACCAAGCTCTGTAAAGCTGTGCATAGTGTTCCTGTGCCCTGGGATAGGCAGGGAAGGGGTGGAGAGCTTATCAACTCCATCATTAGCTACCATCTCAGTCATCAAGAGAGCAATTTGAGACACCACATCGTAGAGCTGAGATGGATCACCCCTGGCTTCCTCACTACTACAGCGAGGAAGTTCATCTGCATCATACCTGCACGATAGCAGGGTGTATCCATACAACATAAACACCCAGACAGGCAGATGCTTGAAGTGTAGCTGGCATTAAGCACCAGCAGGTAGTAAAATGCTTCTAATTATTCCCATGCCCCTCAATTTTCACAGCTCCACTTTTTATATTGAATTATTCTGTTTACTTTTTCTGGAGTTAATTCTTTTTTTTTTTTTTTTTTTTTTTTTCAGGCAAACAAGAGCACAAATATGGTTTGTTACTCAAAATAAACCGCCACGATCTGTGATTTGTGTACAAAACATGCATGTTATGGGAATGACATATACAGCATGCTGCATAAAAACACATTTTCACGAGGAACCATGTCAGACACAGCAGATTCCTTCTCTAAACAAAGAGAAGTTTTGTTTGCTAAGTCATTTTTTTCCCCTCTGGCTGTAACAGCTAGGGAGAAGTTTTTAAAATTCTTCATTTCTATGCAATTTACACAGTTTTCACGAGGTATTTTCCAGCTCCGTGTATTGCCCAAAGCCCAGGCTGCAAGCACAGATGCTGACTGCGAGCAGGGAATGCGGAGGAACGCCGAAAGCCAGGAAAAGTCTGAACGTGAATGTGCAAATCCAGCACTTGGTGAATTTGTCCCCACGTGTCCCTATTTTTATCAGCAAAGCTTTTTGAAACCGATGCATTGCAGAGGCGGTTTCTTAGCAATTTCTGGCCAGGATTTCCCATGCCCTCTTGCACAGGACTTACACCTGCAGATGTGGCTGCCGCCGGTGCCTGCTGCTTGGACCCCAGCTCCATCCCTGCACCAAGAAGCATCGTCCTGCTACCGTGTGTCACAAAACATCCTCTGCTCCTTAAGGCACCAGCTTCGACTCCTGCAAATAGGTGAGATTCTCAGCAGTCGCTATTTTCACTATTTTCAATTATTTTCACTTATAGGCTTTTTAAACTGCTTCGAATATTCACCTTCAAAACTCAAAAGGCAACGAGCTGTACATGGAAGGTTTTAGGAACACAAATATGGCACGGGGACCTGCATCCCCTGCTTTCTGAATGCTTAAGGCTGACAAAGAGTTAATACTTCCGTGGCCTGAGCTTAGTGTGCTATTGTCAATTTTTATTCTGCTATTGAATGCGTAGCCTCAGGCAAGCATTTGCCCTCTTTGCCTCAATTTTTCAATCCATAAAATAACAAAGAAATTACAATACCTTGACAGCTGTGGAAAAACATGACATTTATACTCATTTCATATAATGCTTACTTTTCAAAAAATGGATGCATTACCTCAAATTTCAAGTTAATATGCCGGACTATCATGGAAAATACCTCCACAGGCAACCAGAAACGGTATAAAGTTCATGGCAGGTGGGACCAAAACTTCACAGCGTGAGGCTGTAACAAAAGCCCAGCGTCTGGGGAAAACCAAACCATATTACGACGGGAGACCCTGATGAGCTGAAGAACGTTATCACTTCATCTGTTCAAAATTTCCTAAGCCTAAGGTGCCACAAATACATTCGTATGAATGATTTTAGACTAGATAGATGTCTCAATATTTAAGATGTCAGATGGAGTAATATGTAAGTAATTATGTTTTGCCTTTCATTCAGTCTTTGTCAGGGGTACAGACTGATGGCCCTGGAGATTGAAGGCTTCTGTCTAGATAGTGAAAATGCTCGTTTTTAACACGACGAGCACAAGCTTTCCCCACCGAGCTCTCACAGCAGGGCCAAAGACAGGGCTGAGCCCCCCAGCCATGGTGGGACCGTGTCCAGCAGGTGCCTGTCCTCCCTTGGGTGGGCTGTGGGTGTGCTGAGATGCCTGGAGCTGGTATGGAAGGTGAGCTTGATGAGTGTTGCTGATGCTAAAAGTATTTAATATAAAAGCTGCCACTTCTGGGGGCCTCTTGCCTTGCAAATCTACTGTGAGCCGGCAGTCTGGGGTCATATCTCCACCAAACCTGGGATCTGCGGGTTTACAAAGCTCAGCCTCTCCCCAGTCTTTAGGCACCAGATCTGCTTGAGTCGAGGGGGTTTTGCTCCTCCAGCATGAAGGCAGCGAGGAAGCAGCACAGGGGGAAACTACCAGCAGCTGGAGCAAGAGGCAGAGGTGATGGAGATGATTTGGAGAAAAGCATCCCAGGGAGGGAGGGAGGCACTGGTGGAGGTGTCAGGTCAATGCACACCAGAGAAAAATGAATGCACAAGCTGTTTTCCTACTGGCTTGAATGCAGTGTAAGTCCAGTGCAGAATAAAATTCATGAGATAGAGAGACAACATAATATATATACATATATGGACATTATATATGGACATGCACACCAGGCTTACACAGCCCAATAGCGGAACTACTGACACCCACCCGCCAATGTAACCAGTAACATGCACAAACACCCTAATTTTATCTGTTCACTTCTAGCTGTTGCCAGCTTTGTGTGGTTGTGAGGAATCTGCAAAGGCCATTTAGCAGCAGTATTTGACAATTCCGCTTTATTTTGCCCAGCCTTCCTGTTAAAAAATGGCAATTACTTGCAAAGTAATTTGTAAAAATGCGAATATGACACACGAAGTAAATGCAACCATTGCTTAAACATTCGTGCCTGCTCCAGACCTGCTAAGATTAATTCATCCTGCAAACATATACATTTCAGTGGAATACATGATACAAAAATTTTCTTCTTCCAGAGACTCGGAAACACAATGGCTTTTGCTTTTCCCCTCCTGCTGTGGTTAATGTGACCTAATTTGCCCCCTTGCGACAGAGCCAATTCCATGTGTCACTGTCATCTAATTGAATTAGTAACTACCCACAGTAAATATTTCAAAAGGAAAAATCTCATAGCATGATGAGCAGACTTTTGCAAGCTGGCGTAATACCAGGAGGAGGAACAAAAACCTCAAAGAAATACCACCAAGATTTATCAAAGGGTCTCTGGCTTTCACGTGCTAGAGCTGTACCTACAACTGCAGGCAGCCGTTGCATTTTGCTGATCTTGAGGCTCATTAGTGGAAACACAGCTGTTTTCTCCAGGAAATTGCCAGCCTCTTGATGTAATACTGACTTGGTGGAGGTGGCTGCTTTAATTACCACCTGGAAATAGACAGCAAGTGTTTACAAGTTGCAATAGGCTCTCCCCTGGGGGAAAGTGCATTGCTTCCTTAACTCTTTACTGCTGCGACCCAGGGATTTATTTACTCCTGTTTACATTTGCACAAAGCCTGGGAGTGGTGACGGATGTGCCTTTGGACCAGCTGGTGCAGAAGTGGCAGCACAAATGTCAGTTGACATGAAGTTAAGGACTTGAGATGCGATAGCTCAGGCTGAGGTGTCAAGCGAGCCAGGTGCAGCTCACTGCAAGGCCTTTGGCACATTTGTTTTAAACATTTTATCTCGGTGCCACTCTCAGCGCACAGCGTTCATCCCTGCAGGAGCACACATGCCTGATTGGAAAGGTCTGTATCAGATACGAGGGCAATTGCTGGCTCCAGGCACCTGAAATACCGAGGAGACTAAATTGTGCTTCAGCTGCTGTTGTCCATCTGGGATACTTGCCCGAGAGCTAGAAGAAACCTGCCAGGGTTGTGTTTTATCTCTCTAAGAACTGGGCAGCTTCAGGGGAGGCTAAGCAAGCAGACATATTAAGCAGTCCATGACCCTAGCAAACACACCCTGTGCAACCTGGAGGCGTAATGAATATCTTACACACTACCATTGGTGATGATCCCCAACCACTATAAAATGAGTT